TCAGGACGCCTGCTCGCCGGCGGGTCGCACCGCTCACTGCCACCGTCTGTAGGTGAACTACCAGGGTTCCGAGGCTCGTACGCAATGAACACTGTACTGGCTGCTCTCAAGCCGCCGGGACGCGTCCGTCCCTATTTGTATTCAACTCAACCACTCTGCTCTACTCGATGTAGAGCTCTCAACTCAACTTCAAACTCAACTGCGTCTTACTGCTCAGCCCTGCCTCTTACAGGACCGCGGCTCACCGCGCAGACACGCTTAGGGGCCACCGAGGCAGTCACACACACGTCGAACCCTGTGTCCGCCGCACTGGTCACCGCCGGTAAGCCCGCGTGCAACAACAATCAGACTCGTCAAAGGGCTAACCCCTTCTGAGAGGCCCGCTTCCTCGAACCACAACCACCACCACGAACGGCTCCACCCCGTCGCTCTCTGCCCAACTACCCACTCGCTTTGTGCCTTACGGCTCTGCTCAAGAATGCCAGGCAGCTCTGCTCGCTTGACACTCGACTCGTTCTCGCGCTTCTCCGGCTGTGCTCGCAACGACCTGCAAGTCCTGGGCCTAAACACGCGCTCCGCAACTGACGCACCACTTTGCTCGTACTCGAGCCACTTGCGCCTCGCGGATCCAATTCTTAACTGAGCTCGAGCCGCCGCTCGCCGCTCAGTGTCTCCATCACGTTCCGAATTCTCGGCCGACTTTCGACGTGAAGCAGCTGCTCTACTGGCTTCTTACAGTGCTACACTTCGTCGTCTCACCACCTCGTCCTTTCGCTTATTGTTCTGCTAGGGCCCACTACCGCACACTCATCGCCCTTCGATAGTAACGGTCAGTGTCGTACCCACTGCAGCTGTGGGTACAGACTGTACCGTACCGTGGCTCTTCTTGTCACGCGAGCCTCTGCCGCTCACATTCACCGCTGGTCCCGTGAACTGGCGTCGTCTCCGCTTCCCCACGAACGAGCTGCCCGTGTTTCGCGCCGGGTTGCAGCTGCCCGCCTTCAACAGCAAAGACCCGCTCAGTCCCTCGTACATATTACCCGCCTTCAACAGCAAAGATCCGTTCAGTCCCTCGTACTATAATAGTGCCAAGTTACACCGTCTTTACAGGTGTGCTGAGCGTTGCGGTAGCATACCACACGTGCCAGGAGCCAGGCAGACACCACAAAGACACAGCAGGAGGCCCACACAACCCAAGACGAGCGAGTTCAGGAGGGACCAAAAAGGTGAGCAAAGAACAGGGCCTTGCCGGAGATCGAATCCGGGACCTCTCGCACCCTAAGCGAGAATCATACCACTAGACCACAAGGCCACGCAAACGCAAATTCACACCCACATGTCGCGCCGCCAGCACGCACCCCACGCCACTCACACACGCTCTGCACCCCTTCTATCACGCTCTCCGCACCAACACGTGCCCATGCCCACCCTCCTTGTTGACTTTAGACGCGTTTCTTCCCCGATCCTTTTTGAATTGATACCGTCTTTACAGGTGTGCTGGGCGTTGCGGTAGCATACCACACGTGCCAGGAGCCAGGCAGACACCACAAAGACACAGCAGGAGGCCCACACAACCCAAGACGAGCGAGTTCAGGAGGGACCAAAAAGGTGAGCAAAGAACAGGGCCTTGCCGGAGATCGAATCCGGGACCTCTCGCACCCTAAGCGAGAATCATACCACTAGACCACAAGGCCACGCAAACGCAAATTCACACCCACATGTCGCACCGCCAGCACGCACCCCACGCCACTCACACACGCTCTGCACCCCTTCTATCACGCTCTCCGCACCAACACGTGCCCATGCACACCCTCCTTGTTGACTTTAGACGCGTTTCTTCCCCGATCATTTTTGAAGTGATACCGTCTTTACAGGTGTGCTGGGCGTTGCGGTAGCATACCACACGTGCCAGGAGCCAGGCAGACACCACAAAGACACAGCAGGAGGCCCACACAACCCAAGACGAGCGAGTTCAGGAGGGACCAAAAAGGTGAGCATACAGGGCCTTGCCGGAGATCGAATCTGGGACCTCTCGCACCCTAAGCGAGAATCATACCACTAGACCACAAGGCCACGCAAACGCAAATTCACACCCACATGTCGCACCGCCAGCACGCACCCCACGCCACTCACACACGCTCTGCACCCCTTCTATCACGTTCTCCGCACCAACACGTGCCCATGCCCACCCTCCTTGTTGACTTTAGACGCGTTTCTTCCCCGATCCTTTTTGAAGTGATACCGTCTTTACAGGTGTGCTGGGCGTTGCGGTAGCATACCACACGTGCCAGGAGCCAGGCAGACACCACAAAGACACAGCAGGAGGCCCACACAACCCAAGACGAGCGAGTTCAGGAGGGACCAAAAAGGTGAGCAAAGAACAGGGCCTTGCCGGAGATCGAATCTGGGACCTCTCGCACCCTAAGCGAGAATCATACCACTAAACCACAAGACCACGCGAACGCAAATTCACACCCACATGTCGCACCGCCAGCACGCACCCCACGCAACAGGTGCACACACGCTCTGCACCCCTTCTATCACGTTCTCCGCACCAACACG